GGGGGGGGGGGGGGGGGGGGGGGGGGGGGGGGGGGGGGGGGGGGGGGGGGGGCGTGGTACATGAGCGACTCTGCACCGGCAAGAAAAAGAACGCCGTTCCCTCGCAACGCACTCCGCAAAACTAATGAACCGGGTAGACATCAGGAAGAAGATGGAGGGTTCACAAGTATGATCGGTACACGTGACATAAGAAGTGTCAGAAAATGAAGCACGCGTGGGTAGTTCGTTGCTATTGCAGTGTACAGGCGCATGCGTGCGTATGCATACACATGAGTTACTTTCTCCTTTACACAACGAAATTCATCTCTATCCAGTACAGCCGGCATGAGAAACTAGCAAACTATACAAAGCAGCGTTAGCGGGTACACCAACTGCTGTGTCGTCTACGGTTCCCGAGCAGCATACAGCGATATCTTACCTGCCGTGGGTGACAGGCTCTACAAAGGCAGCTTGGTGGCCAACCTAAGCATCCGACTACTGCTGTACTGTGCAGGTGGTATGGTGTAATGCTGGAATGATGTTGGACTTTCGGGCGTGATGTTTGTTGCACACCCCCTTGTTGAGCACATCACAGAACATGCGCATGTTGTGTGCAGTTTGCCGGTTTTGTTAAAGGCCATTTGTATTCACGTGACAAAATGGCGGGACAAAACATCACGCATGTCTGTCTGGCAGGTACATACCCACCGGTCGCCCCGGTGGTCTAGTGGGTAACCTCGCAGCTTGCAAAGGGCCAGGTCATGGGTTCGAGTCCCGGCAGAGTGAGTTTTTTTCTCACTAAATTAATCCTGGTCTAGGATGAAAGCGACGCGCTGCAAAGCTCGTTGTTAGTACCGTATATGACGTAAGATAACACACCCCTTGGACCGATTTTCAAAGCTCGATTACTCCACGACGAAGAGGATGAATAAACGAGACGATACATTTCCGAAAAGCTCTCGACGAGGCGGTTTCAACGCCGCCGTTTTCGGCGCTGTGACTGTTCCTGCAGTTAAAAAATCGAGCTTCGAAAATTGGTCAAGGGGGTGTGTTATCTTGTGTCATACACGGTAAACCATAATCGACTTCTTNCCGATTTTCAAAGCTCGATTACTCCACGACGAAGAGGATGAATAAACGAGACGATACATTTCCGAAAAGCTCTCGACGAGGCGGTTTCAACGCCGCCGTTTTCGGCGCTGTGACTGTTCCTGCAGTTAAAAAATCGAGCTTCGAAAATTGGTCAAGGGGGTGTGTTATCTTGTGTCATACACGGTAAACCATAATCGACTTCTTAAGTCGCGAGGGAAGGGATTGCGGTACCCTTCTCGCGATAAAAATACCTCAGGCAGGAACCGCAGGAGGGGGTCCAGCCCCCCCCTCCTATGTGACCCCGGTTGGGTCGTCTAGCTAGTAGAAGTGGAGGATAGGGGCCAGAGAGGCAGACGACAGAGTCCAATGATGGGAGAAAAAAAAATATATATATATATATATTTATATCACGTGGAAGTTTGCGACATATTAAGTTGTCACTTCATGAGCGTAGGATTGGGTGATCATGCGCATCTGATCGGTAGCTATGGAGCCATCAACGAATTTCCAATTTCCGAAACACATTTTTGTGGCTTGTCGAATGGTTAGGAAACCTTAATCTCTTGCCCCCCCCCCCCCCACACNCTGCCGCTACAGCAGTAGTTCAGGCAAGAAACACATCGCGATTGAGACACAACAGACAACGCACGCACGCACACACGGCACATCGCAATTGAGACACACAACAGAACACACACGCACGCACACATGCATATTCATGTCAACCATGCTGGATCGGTCTCGCTTTCACAGCGTGGCCCGTGAATTTCGCATATAGACTGCAGGAAGCAGTCGTCCACGGGGTATTGTACGCGTGTGTGCATGTTTCCAAACGGAACAATGTGCTGGGGTTGTTCTTGTTGTTGTTGTTTCTCACATTAGCTCTATAGTCCACCAAAAATGGGGAGCCCATGGTCTCTAATCCCGGCACATACGAGTATTGCCCGGCCATTGTTGACTTAGAGCGGGAGAGTTGACGGTGGGTGTTGTTTCGCAGGGGCGGAAACTGATTCCTGCCCCGTTGCCATGGTTGTTACTGGGCGGGAAGATTCGTCGTTTGGTATCCAATGATTGGAGGGGAAAAGGAGTTAGGATTCCTGCGGGGGAAATGATTGATGAAGGGGCTTTTTTCCCGACAGGTCAGGGTGCATTTCCGAAAACAGGGTACAGTTGTTGAGAAAAGTAATCACGGCAGGGTATATACCATACGCCTTCTCGGACGCACCGGGGTGAAATTGGGCGCTGACCAATGACATGAGTGCAATTACTGCTGTTAATGACTGTGTACCCAGGTGTGTCGCTTTTCGACCAGGGTAGTCAATACCCTGTTGTGTCGTTTCCCCTTGAAATTATCATGCACATGATGGCCAGAGAATCGGGGGGTCTACAATAGCTGGTACCGTCCAACCTTCCTCACCGTGGGGTCCACCTGTCAATGCTTTCCGTGGCAAATTTACAGGAAGGGCTATTTGAAACTCTTCTTGGTACCCAAATGCATGGTATGCATATGTATCAACTCTCACTAGCAAAAAGACTCGCGACCTTGAAACAATCCCTCCGTTCGATTCAGGGATTATTATCTCGAGCGAGGGGATAGTCTTCTGGTGACTGGCTGTCCGTTTTTTCTTTCCGGTGGGATTCTGAGTCAGCCCTCAACTACAAGCCGTATCTGATGGAGCTGGCTTCCTGCCCACCTTCTATTAAGGCGCCTCATACAATTTTCCTCTCCCTGCACTGGTTGTAGTGTGTGGGCGTGTAGTTCAGTTGTGAGCACCCAAACGTGCTGCAGGGATTGTAGGTGTACCTCCTCGGGCTTGTGTACCCCTTTCTTGCTAATAGTGTGCGTGTTCTTTAGGTCTTCTGGTGGCTCCAGTCTTCGCTAGATTTTGGGAGTAGCAACTGACACGAGTTTAATGTGAAGAAAAACAAAACAAACAAAACAAACTGGTTTGGCCGTCTCTCTGGGTCTCTATGTTCCAACGGCTGCTGCTGCTGTGTCCTACCAAAGAAGAGGCAAACACTTCTATCTTGCGTCTCTGCGGCTATGTAGGTGGTTGCGCCATGAATATGTAGTCTGTGTACAGCTCGTTTCTTGCCGCTCATGCCTACATGTAGGAGGAGGTATGACAGGCAGTGAAAAAAACTACTGACAACCGGTCTGGATACCCTCCCCGGCCTGCCCCCCCCGTCCCTGGGGTAGGCCGAGGTTCCGCAAGTGGATCTAGACCTCGAAAGACCACCCAGCAACGACGGCTATACGGTCCCTAGCACTGTTTAGAGGGGGTCCTGAGTTTGGCGGTTGGGAGTTACTGCTGTCGTGAGATCGGGGTAGCTCCTGAGCCGCCAGCTTTGGTAGCTGCAAAATGAGACTGGATCCTGACGCTCCGGCTTGGACACCGGGGTTATGCAGCAGCAGAGAGCACGGTGAGGGTGGCGGAGTGACCGCACGCCGTGGGGGTATGCCCCAGAGAGAGGATAGGAGAGACTCCAGAGATGGAGGGCCACACCGCTCCGGGACAAGAAGACAACTCTATGGGAAACAAGGCAAGAACCGGGGCAACTATCACGTTAGCCCGAGTGTTGGCAAAAAAATAGCAAAAAAACAAAAAAAGAGAGGAAGTTGGAGGAAAAGGAGGGGTCGGGCGGCGCGTAGGCTAGCTAAGAGAGCAGCGCGCGCCGCGCGAAAGAGACAGCGTCAACTTCTTAGGGAAGCAACCTGGAATGTGCGGACGTTGGCTGTAAACGGTACGGGCGAGCTTACAGCGTTCTACACGAGGCAGCGAGACAACACGTATCGGTGGTAGGAATGCAGGAGACACGGACGGCAGGTCGAACGGAATTTGCAGCAGCGGGTTTCCGGGTGTTCTGCTGTGGCACGGAGACTGGTGGAGTCCATGGTGTGGGGATAGCCGTCAAAGAGTCACTGTGCAACACATCCACGTTCACTACGGAGTTTATTGACGAACGTCTTATGGCCATGAGGTTTCTGTTGGCAGGCCACCGTGGAGCGGACAACTTCGTAGCCGCGTATGCTCCAACCGAACCTTCAACCGCCGACAGCAAGCGCGTGTTCTGGGGAAAACTTGACAGTCTCGTGCGGAGGATCCCTTCCAAAGAATGTGTGTATGTCCTACTGGACGCCAACGCGCCGACGAGAGATAGGTTGGACGGAGGGGACGGAAGGGTAATAGGAATGTACGAGCGTGATGAGCTCAACGACAATGGCATGCTACTGTTGAACTCCGCAACGGAAAACAGGCTAGCTCTCACGAACACGTTCTTTGAGACACGCAAGGGCGGAATATGACACACATGCAACGGTGTGTCGGGAAACGATTGCAAGCGCCTTGACTCACCCTGACAAGGCAGGCACATCACGGACGAGTATCTAACGTGGTCGTCATCCCCCAGCCAGTTCGCCCAGTCAAAGCAGACTCAGACCACAATATGGTAGTAGCCACCGTCAACCTCGGTGGCAGGCTTGCCCACAACCGTGCAGTCCGGACTAAACCGAAACCGAAGCAATTCAACCGACGGGAACTGCAGTTCGAAGCAGCACGGTATGCGGTGACTAATCGGTTCCTCCTCAACCTCGACACACGACTGGACGAGCGAACAACCACCGCCGCGGAATTGGCGACCGACTTTACCAATGCTCTACGGGAATTGCAGTTCGAAGCAGCACGGTGTGCGGTGACTAATCGGTTCCTCCTCAACCTCGACACACGACTGGACGAGCGGACAAGCACCGCCGCGGAATTGGCGACCGACTTTACCAATGCTCTCCTCGACGCAGCGCGGACGACCCCGGGGGAGAAACCGCGGAGACGCCGCACGCAGAAGTGGTGTGGGACCCCAGAGACGCGAGCAGCGCTGGAGCAGGCCCTTACCAAACGTCGGGAAGCGCGCCGGGCGATGAGGGGCAACTGGAACTCAGCGACGTGGAGGGTTCTCAAAGCAGCGTGTAAGGGAGTGGCTACAGCAGCCGAAACGGGCATTTGTGCTCACCTGGACGGATATGTGACTGAACTCGAAGAAATCTACAAAGATCGCTACATGCGAGGACTGTACCAACACCTCAAGAGATCAGTGGGCCTCAGCGGGAGACAAGCGGGGGGACAGCAGTTCGTCGCGGATGAGAACGGCGTGTTGCTCCGGAACAGGGACGACATCCTCCGGCGGTGGGCGAGATTCTTCAGCACCTTACTCAGCACCAAATCCCCCACCCTGAACCCACACATAATCGAACGAGTGACGCAGCGGCCAGCGACACGTGGCACTCAACGGTTGGGGGATGTGCCAGAACTCGAGTTGGTGGTACGGGCAACGAAAGGCTTCAAGAACTGGAAGGCACCCGGCCATGACTCCCTCCCTGCCGAGTTGCTCAAGATCGATGACGACGAACCCTTCGTCCTGGGACACCTCCATACCATCCTCGTCAAGGTGTGGAACGGAGGAGATATTCCGCGAGAGTGGAAGGATGCAACCATCAAGGTGCTGTACAAGAAGGGTGGCCAGTCCAACTGTAACAACTACAGGGGGATTTCTCTACTTTCTCACGTAGGCAAGGTCCCCATCAAGATCATCACCAACCGTCTAAGCGCCTTCTGCGAAGCCAACAACTTCCTCCCGGAGGAACAGTGCGGATTTCGACCCGGGCGATCTACCGTCGACATGCTGTTCGTCGACTTGGACAAGGTGTATGATTTGGTGGACCGAGAGATGCTATGGAAGGTGCTGGCCGGGGCCGGGACTCCCGCGAAGCTGATCGAAGTCATCCGCCAGTTCCACGATGGAATGCGGGCCCGGGTGCGCATGGACGACGGAGAACTATCGGACTGGTTCTTCGTGACACAGGGCGTGCGACAAGGATGTGTGCTATCCCCACTGCTGTTCAACATCTTCTTCGCCGAGGTCCTCGAGGTCGTTGTCATCCGATTCAGCGAGGATGATGTTGTTCTGCGGAGCCTGGTGTGCTTGGAGGAGGGGAAGACAGAAGCGGGGGGGCGGGAGGAGACACCCCTTGACCGAGTACGGAGGGCAGTATGGGGGATGCTGTATGCCGATGATGCCGGCGTCGTATCGAGGTCTGCAGAAGGACTGGCGAGAATGATGACCATCATCGTTGAGGTGTTCGGGGAGTTCGGGCTAACGGTGTCGGAGAAGAACACGGAGACGCTCCTGATGCGCGCAAAGGACAACCCGACTACAACATCACAGCCCGCCCCGCCTCCACCGCTGACCATCGAAGCCGCGGGACAGAA